TCTCTCTCTCTCTCTCTGGCCGACTCCAACATCCCGGTTTGTCCGCTGCCTGCTGAAGGATCCCTGCCTGCTCCCTCCCTTGGCCAGGTATGACCCTGATTTCCGATCCTATTTCTCTACATATGTGGATTCTTCACTCGATCTCACTTGGAGAAGACGCCGATATCAACAATTAACTAGTCCATGCTCTTCTTTTTTATTTGTCAGTTCATTCAAATAGAAGAAAGGAAAAATAAGCCAGATTTCTGTCTATTAGATCGAGGCAGAGAGAGATTTGAAGCGGAACCATGAATCGCCGTTTCGTCAATCTGCTGGTCAATAGGTTGTGCGCCCCTCGACCCGCTTACAGGCTGCACTGCATCGACCCCGCAACCTTGTTTTACCCTACCGGATCGCCACAGCCAGCAGATCCAGCTGCCATAAACGACAGCGCTCCAGCTCCTGGGAGGTTGCCTGCGCCCACCATATCCTTCGACTGGCCCTGCAAGCCGCACCAATCCGGCTGGATGGATTTCATGGCCTTCAAGAACAACATCATTGCCGTCGACCACGAGGGCCGCACGCTCCTCTACGACACCGCCTCCAGGGCAGTCCGGGCCATGCCTCAGACGAAGAAGCCTAATTCGAGGACAATATCCTTCACCGTTGGCGATGGCCTCTATGTGATGGCTAGAGAGAATGGCTCCCCGCCCCATTCGCACTATTTCCAGGCTCTTATCTACGGCCGCCCGCCTGGCTTCCTCCACCCGGAGGACTGGCACTGGCGCCCTCTACAGCAGCCTGACTTCGATTTTCCTGACAACGGCGACGTCCCGAGCAACCACAAGCCAGGAGAGGCGGTGAACCCCTATGGGTTCAGTGCCTTCACGGTGTATGATGATTCGCAGATCTGGATGTCCACTGTGGCAGCGGGCATATACTCCTACAACACGGTGAGTGGCACCTGGAGCAAGGTACATGTTTCTGCGCTGCCGTTCAGAGGCCGGGCTGAGTACGTCCCTGAACATGGCCTCTGGTTTGGCTTTTCACGTGAAGACGAGCAGCTCTGTGCATCTGACCTCGCTCAGGCACGGCCGGTGCTGCAGAAGGTGTGGGAAGAACCAGCTCCGCCTGAGCGGTGTTCCCTGATGGCGTCTCACATCCTGCCGTTGGGCTCCGGCAAGTTGTGTGTGGCGAGGCTGTTCCAGAAAACAGAGCGGGGGACGCTTCACCCTTCAGGCTACACCAAAGCGGAGCACTTCGCAGTACTGTCTGGTGTCGAGGTTTTCAGAGCTGGCAACACAGGTAGCCTCGAGACGATCAAGCACAAGTCCAAACGTTACAGCTTCGGCAATGATGAGGTCAAACTGATCTGATCATAATCCTACTGTTGTAGGTGATTTATCCTCTTTTAGATGCAAGAACAAAGACTATCGTATTTTATCCTGCAGTTATTGTTTCGTTGTAATGTCTGGGCCATCTGCTTCAGTCACAACTCGTGTGTTGCGGTGTCGATCTAAATTAGAATACCTGCCAGTTCCTATGTTCTACTGGAACAATTACTGGATTATGAGGTGAGAACCGTCTTGCAGCAACGATCGCACGATCTGAAGGCATCATTGCGTACGAAGTGCATATGCACTAGACCGGAACTCCGGAAGCGCGCGCGGTGCCCGGTTCAAACGGTGTGACCAAGCGCGCGTGCCAGCCGTGCAAGTGTAGCATGTTTAGTTGTACATGTATCTAATCCTGACTAAAAACAGCAGAAGTTGAGTATTTATCTTGACTAAAAATAGCAGGAGTCGAGCACAAAGTAAAATTATACGGCTTGATTGAAAGAAGCAGGGCATATAGTTCAGTGCGATAGAGATGAATGTTGAGCAAGTAAACCACATACAGGGCTAACAGGGACTGCCATTTTTCATATTATGCATCATTTTGATGCAAGATCACATTCAGTGGTAGTTGTTTGTACAAAATGCTTAGGCGTCAAACAGTTTTCATGAAGCATAAGGCACTATTGCAAAAGGTGAACCCTCGAAATAGGATCACACACGCAAGGGACACGCAACAAGATCATTTTCATAAGCTCTTTTCATAATATCCTTAATCTCCCTGTGAAATACGGCGGTACATTGATAAGCAACACACGGCTAAACGAATGGAATTCTTAAGCACAGATCCGTTACAAACCAAGCTCTAACTATAGAGAATGCTTGTTCATATATAATAAGGTAAGGTCAGCCATGGACGGCAAAATAGAACACTCCATTATAAGTGACAGGGCGTAAGGAAAGCGATGGTGGATAGAAGCGAAGCACCAATCCATCAAGCCAGTGTTCTCTCGAACTCTGCACTGAACATGACATGATTTTGCAGAAACAGAATTCCAAGGAGAAATCAAAATGACATAAACTATAAGGAGCAGGTAGTTAGCAAGCAAAGGATCAAATAAAAGAACCAAAAGGGTATGTCGCCTAAAGGCATTTGGTCTAGAGCTTGGGTTTTTTGCTGTCAGGGGGCACATCGGCTTTTCCTGCCACTTTTCATTTGCTTTTCTTCAAGGGTAAGAGCATCTCCACTCGTTCAGCCCCCAGGGGCTTGAAATAGCGCCGCCTGGGGGTGCGCCGGTGGAAAAATCGGCGTGGGGGCAGTAGGTTTCCTAGTCACCCCCAAGATCGCCTCCTAGGCGCCGATTTCGGCCCAATGTCGGCGCAAATTGGCCCACTTTTGGCTCACTTTCGGCGCAAATTGGACCAATTTCGGCCCATATTCGGTGTATTTCGGCACAAATTCAACAGAAGCTATCACATAGTTCATCACAAAAAATCAATACAAATCAAATAATTCAACAAATCAATACAAATCAAATAGTTCAACAAATGAGAACTCATATTCCATCACACGTCGAGCTAGGCGTTGCCCTTGAGCCTCCATAGGTGCTCCACCAGATCGTGCTGCAGTTGTTGATGCACCTATGGGTCTCGGATCTCCAGACGCATATTGAGGAAGGCAGTCCAGATTGCCGGTAGCTGATGATCAACTTGGGCAACATGACCCTGCCTGTAATATGGTTCAATGTCAAACACTAGTTCTTCCCGCTCGCTCTCAATGATCATGTCGTGCAAGATGACACAACAAGACATGACCTCCCACATTTGATCTTTCGACCAAGTTTGAGCGGGGTACCAGACAAGAGCAAATCGAAATTGGAGCACACCAAATGCCCGCTCGACATCCTTCCTGCAAGCCTCCTGACACTTGGCAAAGTAGGAGTTCTTGCCTCCTGGCACAGGGTTTGAGATAGTCTTCATAAATGTGGACCATCTCAGATAGATGCTATCTGCTAGGTAATATCCCTTGTTGTAGTGGCGTCCCTTGACCTCGAAGTTCATCGGAGGAGCATGACCTTCAACAAGCTTGGCAAAGAGAGGGGAGCATTGCAGTATGTTGATGTCATTGTGAGTTCCTGGCATACCAAAGAAGGAGTGCCAAATCTAGAGGTCTTGTGTGGCCACTGCCTCAAGTACCACACAGCAACCGCCTTTGGCACCTTTGTACATCCCCTGCCATGCAAATGGATAGTTTTTTTCCATTTCCAATGCATGCAGTCGATGCTTCCAAGCATCCGAGGAAATCCTCTTGCTGCATTTTGTGCTAGGATCTGAGCAGTGTATTCAACATTGGGTGATCGCAAGTATTGAGGTCCAAACACTGCCACCACTGCCCGCAAAACTTGTACAAACACTTAATGGTCATGGACTCGGCCATGCGTCCATAGTCTTCCAGTGAATCATCGGGAGCTCTGTATGCAAGCATACTCATAGCTGTCGTGCACTTTTGGAATGAGGCGAATCCAAGTGTGCCGGTGTAATCCTTCTTGCACTTGAAGTAACTGTCGAACTCACAAGTGGTATTCACAATCCTGAGGAAGAGCTTTCGGCTCATCCGATAACGGCGCTGAAATACTTTCTCGCCGTGCAGTGGAGGGTCAGCGAAGTAGTCGACGTAGAGCAAGCAATAGCCTTCCACTCGATGCCTTCGCTTTGCCTTCAGCCAGCCCGGCGCCAAGCTAGCTCGCCACGACTTTGCATTGCTTTCGAACAGGCCGACCAGAGCGGCGAGGACCATGAGATGCTCTTGGTCCTGGGCTTCGGCATCAGCTTCCTCCTCCAGCAGCGCCGCCAACGCCTCCTTGTCGTCTGAGTCCATCGCCGAGCAGACAAATCGCCGAACACCTGCCGGGCGTGGTAGGCGCGCAGCCGTCAGTAACCCCGCCCTGCATTGCCGGAGCGCCAGAAAGGTCGCCCAGGAGCAGGGTGGAGGGTGCCGCGGTGAACCCTCTCTTTTCTGGTGGGGAAATGGCCTTTCTAGCGGC